ATGTACCTGGGTTGCGGGCACATCCCCAGTAGGGAGTGTGCAGGAGGCAGCTGATCGATGTTTCTCTCTCATCGATGTTTCTAACTCTCTATCCCTCTCCCTTCCTCTCTGCAAAAAATCAATAAAATATATATTAAAGAGAAAAGAAAATAAGGCAAAGGATGATGGGGCGAGCAGCCATATCTAGATGGCATGGTCAGAGAAGACCCCATTGGCAAGACAACAAGAGGGCATCTGAGCCAACATCTGAAGACAGTGACGTGAGTGCCTGGGGTAACACTGTTCTTGGCGGAAAGGACAGAGGACAGCAAGTGCCAAGGCCCTGAGGCTGAAGTGCTGTCAAGGAGCAGCAGGGAAGCTACAAGGGCTGTAGCAAGGGGAGAAGGGGAGAAGTAGAAGGAAATGAGGTCAGAGGGAAGAGAGCACAGGGCAGGCAGAGCATGTTAGAATTTTCAGCTTTATTCTAAGAGAAATAGGAAGTTGCTGGAAGTCATTTTGAGCAGAGGAGTGATAGTATGTGACTTATTTTTTAAAGGATCACTTTAACTGCGGTGTAGAAAACAGACTGAGGCAAAGGCAGGGGGATCAGTTGAGAAGCTACTATAATGATCCAGCCGAGGCTGAACCATGGCTTTGGCCAGAGCAGTGGCAGTGGAGGTGGTGACAAGAGGTCAGATGTTGGGTATATTTGAAAGGCAGAGCCAGTAAAGTTTGCCAGTGCATTAGAAGCGAAATGTGAGAAAAAGAGCAGTCAAGGATGAATCCAAGTGTACAGGAAATGGATGAAATATTTCCTGCCTCTCCACACAGAATCAGGCTTGCCTCTCTATTTCTCTTTATCACATATTGAAATGACTTGTTTATAGATCTGCTTCCTTACTCGACTCTGAGCTCCTCAAGGGCACAACCTGGATTTTATTGATGAATGATGAAGTGTTTACTATTCCTGGCAGTGAGAGAGAAAGGAGGAATTAGAGCAGTGGTTCTCAACCTTCCTAATGCCACGACCCTTTAATACAGTTCCTCATGTTGTGGTGACCCCCAATTTCATTGTTATAAATTGAACATAATTAAGCATAGCCATTAATCACAAAAACAATATGTAATTATATATGTGTTTTCCGATGGTCTTAGGTGACCCCTGTGAAAGGATCATTCGACCCCCAAAGGGGTTGCGACCCACAGGTTGAGAACCGCTGAATTAGAGGGTAACATGCACTGTAGGAAAGTCAGGACGGCAGTCAAGGAGAGTACCAGCTGGGGAGTCCGGTAGGCTAGCGTTTGAAATATGGCTCCATCACTTGAAGTTTTGGGATTTTGGGCAAGTTACATTAACCCCCTTCAGTCTTAGAAGCTATAAAATGGGAGTAATAATAATTATATCTAGCTCATAACGTTGTGAAGAAAAAGAAAAAGAAAAAGAAACTCATTAATGATCACTTTTTATTTTCTCTGGCCCAGCCCCTGGCAACCACAAATCTACTTGTCTCTATATTTTTGTCTATTCTGAGAATTTCATATAAATGGAATCATACAATATGTGGGTATTTGTGCCTGGTTTATTTCATTTGGCATAATATTTTTTTTTAAATATATTTTTATTGATTTCAGAGAGGAAGGGAGAGGGAGAGATGGAAACATGAATGATGAGAGAGAATCATTGATCGGCTGCCTCCTGCATGCCCCCCACTGAGCATTGAGCCAGCAACCTGGGCACATGCCCTGATCAGGAATTGAACTGTGACCTCCTGGTCCAGAAGTTGATGCTTAACTACTGAGCCACGCTGGCTGGGTTAGCATACTGTTTTTAAGGCTTATCCTTGTTATAGCATGTATCAGTACTTATTTCTTTTTATGGCTGAATGATAATTCCATTATGTGGACATAACACATTTTATTTATCCATTTATCTATTGATAGACATTTTTGAATTTTGAGTTGTTTTTGCTTTTGGGCTAGTATGAATAATGCTTCTGTGCATTCTAGTATACAAGTTTTTGTATGGACATATTTTTCAGTTTTATTGAACTTGTATATTTGTCCCTTGGTATACATGAGGGATTGGTTCCAGAGACCCTATGGATACCAAAAGTCCATTATGTAAAATGGTAGTATTTGCATATACACTAATTATTATTATTATAATACCTAATACAATGTAAGTGCTACGTAAATAGCTGTTGTACTTTATTGTTCAGGGAATAAGAACAAGGAAAAAGTGTGTACATGTTCAGTACAGATGCAACCATTGTAGGCTTAATTACATAGTATATGTGAGCAACAGTGTAACCTTTTTTTTCTGAATATTTTTAAGTCATGGCTGGTTTAATCCATGGATGTTGAACCTGGAATACATAGGGCTGACTGTACTTAACCATTGAAATTCTTGGGCTATATGGTAACTCTATATTTAACATTTTGAGGAACTGCCAAACAGTTTTTCAAAGTAGTTAGACAATTGTACAGTTTTATCTTTAATGTAGGAGGCTTCCAATTTCTCCACATCCTCATTAACACTTGTATTTATCTTTTAATTTTATCCTTTCTAGTGGTGAGAAGTGGTATCTCACCATATTGTGGGGATCAAGCCCGCAACCCAGGCAGGTGCCCTAACTGGGAATTGAACTAGTGACCACTTGATTTCTGGGTTGATGCTCAACTATTGTGTCACGCCAGCAGAGAGCCAACTTCATTCTTTTATATGCGGATATCAGTTGTCCCAGCACAATTTGTTGAAAAGACTATTTTTTTCCCAATTGAATTGTCTTGGTAATCTTGTAGAAATCCAGTTGACTGTAAATGTGAGGGTTTACTTCTGGACTCAATATTTCATTGATTTATGTTTATCCTTATGCCAGTACACACTGTTTTCATTATTGGAGGTTTGTAGAAAGTTTTAAATCAGGAAGTGTGAATTCTTCCAATTTTGTTCTTATCTTTCAAGATTGTTTTGGTTATTCTGGGTCCTTTGCATTTGCATATGGATTTTAGGACCAGCTTGTCAATTTTTACAAAAAAAAAGCCAGCTGGGTATATTGATAGAGATTGTATGGAATTTGTAGATTAGATTGGGGAGTATTAGCATCTTTGCAATATTAGGTCTTCTGATCTATGAACATGATATCTTTATATTTATTTCGAGATTTAATTTCTTTCAGCAGTATTTTATAATTTTCAGTGTGTAAGTATTGTACTTCTTTTGTTAGCATTTTTCCTAAGTATTGTATTTTTTTAAAAAAAATATTTTTATTGATTTCAGATAGGAAGGGAGAGGGAAGATAGAAACATCAATGATAAGAGGGAATTATTGATCAGCTGCCTCCTGAACGCCCCCTACTGGGGATGAGCCCACAACCCGCACATGCCCTTGACAGGAATCTAACCTGGTACCCTTAAGTCTGCTGGCTGACACTCGATTCACTGAGCCAACCTAGCTAGGTCAGTATTGTATTCTTTTTAAAATATATATATTTTTTATTGATTTCAGAGTGGAAAGGAGGAGAGAGAGATAGAAACATTAATGGTGAGAGAGAATCATTGATCTGCTGCCTCCTGCATGCCCCCTACTGGGGATCAAGGCCACAATTCAGGCATGTGCCCTGTCCAGGAATGGTAACTGTGACTTCCTGGTTTGTAGGTGGACATTCAGACACTGAGCCATGCTGGCTGGGCAAGTATTGTGTACTTTTTTTTTTTTTATATTTTATTGATTTTTCACAGAGAGGAAGGGAAAGGGATAGAGAGTTAGAAACATCGATGAGAGAGAAACATCGATCAGCTGCCTCCTGCACATCCCCCAATGGGGATGTGCCCGCAACCCAGGTACATGCCCCCGACCGGAATCGAACCCGGGACCTTTCAGTCCGCAGGCCGACGCTCCATCCACTGAGCCAAACCGGTTTCGGCAGTATTGTGTACTTTTGATGCTACTGTAAATGAAATTGTTTTCTTTTCTTTTTTTAAAAAAAATATATTTTATTGATTTTTCACAGAGAGGAAGGGAAAGGGATAGAGAGTTAGAAACATCGATGAGAGAGAAACATCGATCAGCTGCCTCCTGCACACCCCCAACTGGGGATATGACCGCAACCAAGGTACATGCCCTTCACCGGAATCGAACCTGGGACCTTTCAGTCCGAAGGCGGACGCTCTATCCACTGAGCCAAACCGGTTAGGGCGAAATTGTTTTCTTAATTTTCAGATTGCTCATCACTAATGTATAGAAACAATCGATTTTCACATATTGAACATCTATCCTTCTCTATAGAAAGTTTAACTTTACTGAGGAGCAGAAGTGACATTGGAAGTGTTTCCAACTGGGCCAAGAAAGGTTTCTATTGTATACCATCTGGCCAAATAGATCAGCGACAAAGCTACCAATTATCAACCATCTATCATGTTATTTCCTGTGTTTAAAACCTCCTAATAGCTTCCCATTGCTCTTCAACAAAAAAATCAAACTAGAATCCTCAGTATGACCTGTAAGGTCCTGGATACTGGGTGCTTTTGTGCACTCTGCAGCCCTATCCCTCATTGTTCTTCTGGCCCCGTGTCTCCCAGCCACATTGGCATTCCCTACTTCCTCTACCTTACCCTGACTTAGGTGTTTTTATTTGTAATGTTCCTCTAGCTTGGTCATACCCTCCCAGACAAGAAAAGGTAGTTTTCTTCCTAGTAGACAAAATTATAATTTTCCCCATGTTTATAAATGGCTATCCCACTGAATAGATCATGTCTGTTTTCACACCTGTGTCATCAGCACCTGGAGCAGCACCTGGCACATTACTGGAGCTCAGTAAAGGGAGTGGATAAACTGTGAGCTAGGCACTTTCCAGACATAATCTCACTTGTCCTCATGGTACACTTTACAAATGAGGAAACTAATTGTGAGGAGCTGAAACTGGTCCAAGGTTACACAGCTAGTAAGTAGCAGTGACTGTTTGGGAGTTTTAAATAATCCCTCCAAGAGAGTAGTGCTCATCTTTTGATTTGTTTTCCAGTGGAGACTTTTCAGAAATTGCAGAAGGCAAAGGAGATTCTGACTAATGAAGAGAGTCGAGCCCGCTATGACCACTGGCGAAGGAGCCAGATCGCAATGTCATTCCAGCAGTGGGAAGCTTTGAGTGACTCGGTGAAAACGGTAGGTGTCTCTCTGGGATGAAGTGAATTTATGAAACTCAGGCTGCCCATGGATTAGACTTACATAGTAACTTAAATAGTCAATAGGGGATGGGAGGGAGAAGGCCCAAAAGGTGGTAGAATCTGATGAAAGTCATTTGGTGTCCATATAACCCTGTAGTGGATCAGTGCCAGAGAGCCCGTGACTATGCTTGTGAGTCTCTTTAGCTATTCGATTGGTTATATACACTCCCCGTTATCATTTACTGTTTTATACATTCTGATAACTGTGCTTCTCAAGTTGCTCATACAATACTGCTGAATTTTGAACCATTGCAAATTTATCTCCTTCATCTTTTTAGTTCATATGAGCCTGTTCTCTTCTCAAGGCATATAAACTCCATAAAAAAACAGGATCTGATTAATCAAAGAAAGCTCTAAATTATTTATAAATTACTTTCGTTATAAATTCTTATGAAAGAATTATTGGCTAGATGCAGGATTAAAGCCGTGTGTTATTTCTTTATGCCATTAAAAAAAACCCTAAATATAAAAATAATCACTATATTTACTGTTATATGTTTATTTTGTTTTTTTACATTAAGCTTTATATATTACTAGAGGTCCAGTGCATGGATTTGTGCACCGATGGGGTCCCTCAATCTGGCCTACACCCTTTTGCAATTTGAGCCCCCTCAGGGGATGTTGGACTGTGGGGATTGGGCCGAACCGGTAGTCTGACATCTCCTGAGGGATGTAGCAGTGTGTGAAGCGGCAGGCGGCTGGGGAGGAGCCCGAGCCGGGGCCATGTGCTGTGCCACTCCCGCTCATCCCGGCCCCACTGTGCCTGCTGCCGCCACTCGGTAGTGCTGCTGTGGAGGTGGGAGAGGCTTGCGCCACCGCAGCTGTGCTCACCAGCCATGAGCCCGGCTTCTGGCTGAGTGGTGCTCCCGCTGTGGGAGTGCACTGATCACCAGGGGGCAGCTCCTGCGTCGAGCATCTTCCCCCTGATGGTTGGTCAGTGTGCATCATAGTGACCAGTTGACCAGTTGAGTGGTTGAGCGGTTGAGTGGTCAAATAGTCAACCGGTCGCTTAGGCTTTTATATATATAGGTAGAGAAAATACAATTTTAAAGGTTTCTACATTCTTAGACATGACTTATTATCTAGTTTTTTTTTCTATAGGGACACTTTTCTATGGCATGAGACTTAGAATACAGAAGTTACCTTACAGGCAAGTCTTCAGAGACATTTATTAGAATTAATCTACAAGGTCCTAGCCAGTTTTCTCAGTGGTTAGAGTGTTGGCCTGCAACTGAAGGATCTCTGGTTCGGTTCACTCAAGAGCACCTGCCTAGCAGTTTGATTCTGTCCAGGGCATGTGCCTCGGTTTCAGGGAGGCAACCAATCAATATGTTCTCTCATACTCATGTTTCTCTCTGTGTGTCTCTCCCCTTCCCTTACACACACTCTCTCTCTCTCAAAAAAAGATTTAGTCACAAAACAATTCACATCTTCTATATACTTATTTTTCTTTTATTTGATTTTAGAGAGAGGGAGAGAGAAACATTGATGTGAGAGAGGAATATCAATTGGCTGCCTCCCACACTTGCCCCAACGGAGGATCAAACCCACAATCTGGGTGTATATACCCTGACTGGGAATTGAACCCTCCACCTTTTGATGTATAGGACGATTCTCCAACCAACTGAGCCACACTGGCCAGGGCTGATTCACATCTTTTACATTACAACCTGTCAGCATTACATTTAAATTTCTTTCTTAATAGTTTTATTTTAAGAAGACTTAAGTAAATTGTTTTTCCATTGATAAAAGATCTGTAATAGTAAGCGAGGGTCTTTGAAGTAATTGAGAAGAACAATGCAAAATTATCAAAGTACATAGTTAAAGCCACTCTACATAAAATGTAAATAATATTCTTCATCTCATTTTGGAATGAGTGTATATTCATATGATTTCTTTAAGTGGGTTAATTATTCGTGAAGGACTATTGAATATATAGAATGGGGTAAAAGGTTTACTGTTCATATGGAAAATAATACAATAATTAATAAAAAATAATACAAGAATAAATTCTGTGTTTTGTGTACTCACAACTGTAAACCTACTTTTGCCATGTCCAGTATGCACAAAATAACTAGAGAGAATTTTTTGTTTTTATCGATTAAAGAGAGAAGGGAGAGGGAGAGATAGAAACATTAATGATGAGAGCGAATCATTGATGATCGGCCGCCTCCTGCATGCCCTCTTCTGGGGATCGAGCGTGAAACTTGGGCATGTGCCCTTAACTGGAATCGAACCTGGGAACCTTCAGTCTACAGGCTGATGCTCTATCCACTGAGCAAAACCGGGTAGGGCTAGAGAGAATATTTTTAAAATAGTGACTTAACTTCACATACTCAAAAGTAAGATTTTTTTCCCTTTTACATTGTGTATACCTGCAATTCCTCGGTGGCACGGACTAAATAGACATTGTTCTACCACCTCTGCATAACCATATTTCCATTCTGCTGTGTGTGACACACTGTAACTGCAACTGAATTAGTGACCCTTGCTATTTGAATGCCTTTTGATTTATAGTTCATTTTTCTTGATGATCCTCTGGCTCTTGTTAGTTAATTTTAACTGCTAATATCAAGTTAGCTGTGGATCTTCAAAAAACTCTCTAAATTCCTGCTCTAATTTATATTGCCAGTGTCTTTCCATTAAATACTTATTTTTTTGTCCCTAAACGCATCATTTCTGCTTTGAATTTATCTTAACTATGAACTGTTTGAGGTCTTACAATAATTACATTTTAGATCTTACTGGCTACGTCATTTATCTTGTCAGCAAAATTAAAACAGTATGCCAGGCCAGCGTTTGGTTTTGTATGTATTCTTATTATGATACAAAAATGATGAGATGCATATCTTTCTGCGTTAAATTAGCAGTGTTATGTTTTCTTGCACAGTCTTCTTTGGGCCAAACCTTTTTTTGCTTCCGACTTGCTTTTGCTTCTCTTTCTCAGTGGACTTTGAATCCTGCATGCCAGGTTTCACATGTTTTGTTTTGTACCTCATTCGTTAGACTTTCTGTAAATTTCCTTTCATTCTTTTCTGTTTTCGTCCTCACAGTGACTTCTGCATGTGAAAGCATCCCCTCTCTCTGTAACATTTTAATTGTTGCTTTCTGTATTTGTGCATTTCATTTGTTCAACTTTTCACATTCACTATAATTTATTAATTGTCATACCTAATATTGTTCATCAACTCATAGATTGGGGCCTATCCTTTTGTAGATAAACATCAGCATTAGGTCTTTTGGGATATATATATATATATATGTATACACACACACACACACACACACACACACACATATATCATATATAACATACACCATTCTGACAATAAAATGTTTGTAAGTTAGGGTTTGGGTAATAGGTGACATTTATCTAAAACACATGTGCATGGCCTCTTTTTCTACACATTTAGAATGTTAAATCTCATAAAATCCCTACCTTTCCATCATCAACTCTGTGTTTCTGCTTTTTATTTACGCAGTATAACCCCCCTTGAAGGAAGAGCATTGGTAGGGAATGTTAGTCCCAGCACCTTCAAGGCAGGACAAATCACAATGCACTTTTGCAGCATCACACACAGGTTCATATTGCAGGACTCTCCTTTGGGAGAATTCCTTAAATGACTCATTTCTTTCATCCAAGAATGATGGACTGTAATTGGTATTTTTTTTTCCTCCATGCCAAGCATCTGCCACTTCACTAGTTATTTATCTTTCTTTTCCTTTTTAGAAGTTCCTCCTGATAGTTTAATCTGTAAAAATATTTTAAGAATTCATTGAGGTCAATGAATATGTTGGAAATTTAAATTTAGATATGTGATGTTGGTTTAAAAAAAAAGGGATGGGGTGAGGGCTTCCGTAACCAGGGCCTTTGGGAGCTTGGGATAACTTGAAAACAAGATGCCCTTCTAGCTCAGTGAATTTTAGGGAAATTCATTATGGTCATGCTATAAATGGTTTTCTTCAAGGGATTCAGGGGATGAATCTCCCTCTAGCTCCAAAATATATGGCAGAATGCCTTTAGGATAGCTGTGGGAAAGCGGCTGCAGCAAAGCCACAGTCTAAATCAAGTGCTGAGTAAAATTCTCATAAGCTGTTAAAACTGTCCCAGCCATATAAACTGCTATCCTATCTAATAAAAGAGAAACATGGTAATTAGCCATACCTCTGCTACCCTTCCCATTGGCTAATCTGGGCGATATGCAAATTAACTGCCAGCCAAGATGGCGGCCGGCAGCCAGGCAGCTTGAAGCGAACAGGGAGGCTTGCTTGCTCCAGTGACAGAGGAAGCTAAGGTTCCCCGCCAGCCTGCTGGGCTCTGAGCTGCTAAGAAACATTGTTACAAATATAGAAGCTGAACAAAACCCCAGAAACCTGCTTTTAGGCACCCAGGATCTCAGCTGGAGTCGCAATAAAGTTTCAAATACAATAGGTAAACAAAGCCAGAAACCTGCTTTCAGCAGCCAAGGTCCGAGCTAAAGCCAATCTCAGCTCCAGTGACAGCCATAGAAGTAAATAAATCCAAGAATAAAAAG